TTTGTGATTTGGTAGATGTCCCAATTCGAAATAAGTCGACTTGTTTCGTCTAATATTTTCGCATTTTCGTCAAGCTTTATTAGATGGGGTATATGTTAGTGTCCTGCGGGAACGACTTTTTCTGATTCCCATTCCCTATTCCCATTCCCTAAAAAAAAATTTTTGTTCCCATTCCCTTTTTCCCATTCCCTAAAAATTTTTTTTTGTTCCCATTCCCACGTTCCCATTCCCATAATTCCCATAAGGTTTTCCAAGGCTCTATTCATCTATGCGAAAGTGTCATTGGCATATATGTATACCAGTTTCTCGAGACATCATGTTTTGTGCATCGCGACGTTGTTACATAGTGTTTCACTTCTTTTCTTTTCCTGTTTTGTTGCTCTTGTTGGCATTGGTTAAGCAGGTGTTCCTTCGTATATGCACTATACATATACATTCAAGCTGGTGTCCCTTTTCATTAAAAAAGTGTTCCACCGTCTAATTAGAAAATGTATAGTCAACCTAGTGTTCATCATATAGAATGTTCCTCTTATAGTAAAGTGTTCCCCTCCCCTCACCCAAATAGAAAATTAAAAAAGTTATAAATAAATATTGAGATTATTATTGATAAATCATTTGTTTTTTGTTGTAAATAACCTTAATATTTATTTATAATTTTTTTTATTTTCTATTTGGGAGAAGGGAAGGAAACACTTTACCGTAAGAGGAATATTGTCCCTATATGATGAACACTATGTTGACTATACATTTTCTTATTAGACGATGGAACACTTTTTTAATGAAAAGGAACACCAGCTTGCATGTATAGTGCATACACGAAGGAACACCTGCTTAACCAATGCCAATATTTGCGATGATTAAATTACGATGTGGTTAAGAACCAATAAGCAGTCTATTTTTTGCTGATACACATTTGTTATTTTTCTGTTAATTGTATATGAGTAAGAAAAGTTATTGAAAATAAACAGTTATCAGATAGAAATATTTTTATGTGTATTGAAATAAGATAGAAAGAATTTTGGGAACGTCAATTTTTAATTCTGTTCCCATTCCCATGTTCCCATTCCCTAAGTCTAAATGAGAATTCCCATTCCCATGTTCTCATTCCCTAAGTCTAAATGGGAATTCCCATTCCCATGGGAATGGGAAAATTAGGGAAAAAAGTCGTTCCTGCAGGACACTAGTATATGTGCACACACCAGAATGTTCTTAAAAGTACAGATCATGCTAAAATTTTGACTATAGTTCCTTATATGTAGATATTTTATAGAATGATCGAAAAGAACACAAGCAAAAGTTTTGAATCATGACAGAAAGTGCATGTACTCTGAGTGCAATTATTTAATATCTATAACACAAATATTTTTCTAAATCATAAAAAAAAATAGTTTCTTGATAAATAATGTTCTTTTTGTAAGTTCTTTTTTTATAACTTCGATAATATACAACACAATATTGATTTAAGATTACCATTCTATGGTATTTGAAGTATATTGATTTAGTTATTTGGTTGAATTCACTAAATAATAAAGTATATTTACCAAGAGAATAGTTCTTTTGCTCTAATTTATGTTTGCTAAGAATTATTTCTTGAGGTTATACACAAAATCAATAGAAACCTCTTCGTAAAGAATATCAATTCAATTCATATAATATCGTGTAATTTAAGCAAATATTTGATATAGGGAATGGGGTGATTTTTAATGCAGAAAATTGGTAGGGTAAAGGTGAATAATAGTATAAACGAAAAGTTTATTTCTTTATCATACTTTACCTCCTACTCAGTGATGTGTACAATGCACTTAATCTGACCTCAATCTTCACATACGTATATATATATATATACGATATTTTTTAGCATATTAACTCAGATCTAGCCTTTTTTCGATCTCTTGTTATTGTAGTAATCATCGATTCGGGTATATTTCTTTTTTAAAAATTTTCGTTTCTTTTTTTAGCATAACATATAAAGAAAAATGCCAGCTAACGGTCGTATTTCAACAACACCATTGAATCCGAAATCAACAGCTATTGTTGAAGTAAATACACTTAGTGAAGATGATCAAGCTATTAATCCAGCTGATCATGATGGTAAAAATTTTCAAATATTTATTGTTTTTCCTTTAATTTTGTTTCGTTTATCTTTCTAGGTGTACCATCGGATTATACAATTCAAGTTACTGGTAAAAATACAATTTATTCGCATGAATTTATTGAAAGTAACTATATATATGAAATGAATCATTGTGAAGTTGACCATCAAGCAAAAGAAGTTAAAATTATTCCACGAAAATATCAATATAATTTTCGTACGAAACGTCGAGTACAACGTACAGGTGTTATGCTTGTTGGCTGGGGTGGAAATAATGGTTCCACAGTTACTGGTGCTATTATTGCTAATCGAGATCAACTTACATGGATGCGTAAAGGTGAGCATACTTTCGGCATTTGGTTTTTTTAACTGTTACAAAACATATTGAGCGAAATCATAGGAAAAAAATCATTCCCAAGAAGTGAAGATAAAAGCTTTTTGGTTGAAAAATTCACTAAAATCTCGATGTCTCAAGAACGAAGGCCCAGAAAACCAAATCATTGTAGACTTTTCTATTACTCATTATTTATTTAGAGGGTGAACAATATCCAAATTATTATGGTTCATTAACTCAATCAACAACAATTCGTCTTGGAAGTAATAATGAAGGTAAAGAAGTTCATATACCATTTAATACAATTTTACCAATGTTACATCCAAATGATATTGTTATTGGTGGATGGGATATAAATGAAGCAAATTTGTGTGAAGCTATGCAACGAGCATGTGTATTTGATTATGCATTACAAGAAAAATTAAAAGCAAAAATGAGTAAATTAAAACCATTACCATCAATTTACTATCCAGATTTCATTGCTGCCAATCAAGAAGATCGTGCAAATAATTTAATTCCACAAGGAACAAAACAACAAGATTTAGATCATATACGAAACGATATTCGAACATTTAAAAGAACTCATAATTTAGAACAAGTTATCATTTTATGGACAGCTAATACTGAACGTTATGTTGATGGTTATAGAGAAAAAGAAATTATTTTTCATCATTAAAATTGTTTCTCTTTTTTTAGTTCGTCCAGGTTTAAATACAACAAGTAAAGAACTTCTTCGATCGATTGCTGATAATGAAGATGAAATAAGTCCATCAAATATATTTGCTTGTGCAGCTATTTTAGAAAATTGTCCATATATCAATGGTAGTCCACAAAATACATTAGTACCAGGCATAATTGATCTTGCTGAAAAACATCATGTTTTTATTGGGGGTGATGATTTTAAAAGTGGACAAACAAAATTAAAATCAGTTCTTGCTGATTTTCTTGTATCAGCTGGTTTAAAACTTCAATCAATCGTTTCATATAATCATTTAGGTAATAATGATGGTAAAAATTTAAGTGCACCACAACAATTTCGTTCAAAAGAAATAAGTAAATCAAATGTTGTTGATGATATGGTTGGCGCTAATCATTTACTTTATGATAAAAAAACTAATGAACATCCAGATCATGTTGTTGTTATTAAATATGTACCATTCGTTAAAGGTAACAATTTTTTTTTCAAATTCACATTAAAAAAAAAATATTCCTTTATTTTATTAGATTCAAAACGAGCTATGGATGAATACATATCATCAATATTTATGAATGGTCTTAATACAATAGTTATTCATAATACATGTGAAGATTCACTTTTAGCTTCACCATTAATTATTGATTTAGTTATATTAACTGAATTAATGACACGTATTACATATAAAACCAATGATGATGAAGGCTATCAAACATTTGAAGCTGTTTTATCAATACTTTCTTATCTTCTTAAAGCTCCAATGGTTCCACCAGGTACACCTGTTATAAATGCACTTTTTAAACAACATCGATGTATAACAAATATTCTTTCGGCATGTGCTGGTATTGCTATGGATACGGATATGTTACTTGAACATAAAACAAAATTACCTAAACCAATGAAAATGCAATTTTAATTAAATGTCATCTTGTTTTTCTTCTTTTAATCTTTATTTATACTTTTAAACACATTTTTTTAGGCAGTTAAATAAAGATCATATTCATATTGAAAAGAAGGTTTTTTTCTCAAACACTTATGTATCTAGAGTAGTCAAGGTTAAAATTCTCTGCCATTTTGAAGATATTCATTAGTATGAAATGTATTCGAAGTAAACATTTGCTTGACAAGGTGAAGAAAACTTTTTTTCTTCTTTGCTTTTATTCAGTATCAAGCAGGAGTTGGCAATTCTAAATATTAAAAAATTAAATAAACCAGTTTTGATTGGTACCCTATTGTATACTTAAGAAAAACCTATACGACTTAATTCAATTGAAATATTAGTATTCTTTTGCAGTTGTGTAATTACTATTATTGAGAATAGTCTCTTGAGATTGTGAGTATGTGTTTTCAGCACATCCACCCACTCACACAGACATAGATACAACTACGCAGCCACACCTACACCCATCATGTATGAAATTTTAATTGTAAGTATGTATCTCTATGTACCAATCATTCAACCAAAACTAACATGAAAATAGTTTCGATATTACAAATATTCACCTTTATATGACCATTTTCAATCTTTATTCAATAAAAATATAATAAATGGAGCAGATAACAAGCTTCTTGATAAGGGTAGTATTGTTTTCCTCTTTTTTTTTTCATTAAAATTAAATTTTATCCTAACATACGAGAAGCTTCTTTTATTCTAACATTTGCAAATATTAAACGATGCCAACCATCATATAGAAAATTAAGATTTCACTATTTTTTTTTAAACCATTCGATATTCATAACCGGCCACTATTCTTTGAATGAAATATTTTAAATTATTACGTCAATATTAATGAAATTTTATCAAAAAACAAAACAAAACAAATGTTTACATATACAAACACACAAAATTAAGAATATTAAAAGATATAAATATAAATCAATTATTTTAGCATACGTATACGATTAATACATATATCAATACAATGTTCTTTTTTTAAAAATTGATTTTGATTACCTCTACAACCTGAATATTCAAATTGATTACATTCATTTTTTTTATTATCATAATACCACATATCAACATGACCTAAACATTCACCTGGATTCGGCAATGGAGCACATACTAAAAATATAACAACAACAAATGCAGTTTTTATAAAAAGAAAGAAGAAACTTACTTATACATTCTAAATGACATTCATGTAATGTTTGAAAATTATTTTCATTTCCACCCAAACCACGATAAATAAATAAATGACAAGTATCTTGATCAGGATTATAATACCAACGATTATGATATTGAATATTAATATCATGATATCCAGCATCTCGTGGTTGATAACAACGAGTTGGACGATCTAGAAATAAAATTACAAATTTTTATAACAATCATTTTTATTATCCTGTTTCTTTTTTTTTGTACCATGTTCGATGCCATTTTCTGATTGACACAAAGGTTGTCCTTTATCTGTTATAATACATGTATCATTACCGAAACATTGATAATTCTATTTAAATGAATGTATATTTAAAAATTCGTTTTTTTTCTTGTTCTTAATAACTTACTTTACATGGTGGATTACATCGACATGTATCATTAAGAATTTCAAAACCATATGGACATTGTTTTATACATTGACATGAACGATCACATATGGACATGTTTATTGATTTTAATGATAAAAAAGAAGTTTCATTAAAATTTTGATTAATATCATCAATAATTATATTTGTATTATTTATATTCATATCTTGATCAATTATATTTGAGTTGATTGTAAATTCATTATTTGTTGCGATTGTAGAAGAATCATTAGACGGAATTGTTTCGGTTTTATCATTAAATAATAAACCCCATTCGTATGTTTGATTATTATCGGTTGTAGTATAAGATATTGTAGTGTAATCTAAATGAATACTAGCAGTAGTTGATTCAACTTCATCGATGGTTTGATTGAAAATAATTGGAAGTGATGACGATTGAAATTCATTAGGTAAATTATTGATTTCATCAGTTATGGATTCGTTTTTATCATTAGTAATTATTTGATAAATATCAGTAATATTTGTTATAAATGTTTTTGAATCTATTGAATCAATGTAAATAAGTTCATTGAACATTTTTGGTGAAAAAATTGTATCATTAGTATCTGTTTTATTATCTTGTAGGACATTTTCAATAATTGACATTGAAATATGATCATCTGTTTGATTTATCTCTGTCGAATTTTGTCTTAATAATGAATAGTTCATAGTTGTATTTTCATCTGAATATACTTCAAATGTTGTCATATTGAACTGAAATGAATTTGATGAAGATATATCAATAGAATTATTTACAGGTATAAATAATTTATCGATTGCAATTTCAAGCTCATCATTATCTGTATTTTTTTTCCAACGCTTGTGCCGTTTTATCAAAGGTAATTGAGCATTTATAGATTTCGACTTTGAATATTCGCTATTGATAATTGGAGAATTTCGATGGTCGAAAGTTTTATTTTGAAATGAATATAATGGCACATGAAGACTAGCAGTCTTAGTCCACTAGAGTAAGGCATAACAAACAAAAAACAATGAACAAATAGATTTAATTTTCAATACTTACATGTGTAATTAGTAATAAAACCAATAGAGATAAGACATAAGAATAATAAGTAGCCATGTTCTTTTGTAATAATGTCAATCTTCGAATGAATTCGAACCTCTTTCTTATACTAAATGATTACTAAACGATGCAAGAAAATATCTCGTTTTTTTTCTCTGCTATACTCTAATAACGTAATACGCATTATTATGATGGACAGTCGATTATGTTATGCTTGTGCTTTCTTTAGACTGTCCGACGCAATTTATTGATAATCGCTCTATGGTCAAGCAGAAATGTTTTCTTCTTCTTCGTTTACATTATCATTACAAACATTATCTAAATAGAAGTAGTCTTGTTTTTTTTTTGCAACATATGATAATAATTTTTTTTCTTGTTTTCTAATGAATGAATTATCAGAGAAAGTAAACTGATCGATACAAAAATACAAACGCACTTCGCAATTATTACTGATAAAACCGTAAACATGATAAATATACATATGCTATCTCCATATAATCCATGTCAATCTTGTTTTTTCTTGAAAACAATAATATCGAATCAATAATCTCGTTTATTTTTCAAGGTCTCTCCATAATTATACTTTTCTATTGTTATTGTTATTTTGTTGTGACTAACAAGAAAGAAAAAAATAGTTTCTTTTTGATTACATCACAACATTTTTGATACATTTCATTAGATACATAGCTAAGAGAATTGTCCTTTCTCTGTATTGTGTAATCAAATCACTTTCTTTGATTATGTATGTAGAAAAACGACAAAGAACCGTCGATCATTGTTTGCGTGATTGCCACATATTTCTTCGCTGTTGATTAGACTCATTAGAAATGACATGAAAAGAAAAAGAAAAAAAGCATTATTATTAAAATTTCTTTTAGTGATGTAATAAGGAAGCAAGAAAATAAACGTTAATTGAACATATATTAAAAATTGAAAATACATATGTTCTTGTTTCTTTCTTTTATGAACAATTTTGTTCTAGTTGTGAAATAATAATGTATTATGAAAATGGATTTGAATTCTTTGTCATTATTTCATTCTAACACAAACATATTTGATTATTAAATTGCATCGTCATCCATTATCGTACTGAGTTGTAATATGCAATGTGCTTGCAGCAAAAAAACTTTTTGTATACTTACTCTTCAAAATGTATGTTACGGATACCTTAGATTTAATTGTACGGTTTGAATCAAATTCAAATTTTCATTCGTCTTTCGTTCTTTTTTTCTTTTTGACATGTATATGCTTACATGTACACATTCAAACAGCAATCGATTCTATGAGTAAAGAATAAGCAGAAAAAAAATTGAATAAAAAAAGAAAGTGAAAGGAATAAGTTCAACGACATGGCATTGCATTCTCTTTTAAGTACAAGGTAAAAGCATTCATTTTCTACAAGCTTTTTTTTGTCTCAGTGTCAATGTGCAGCTCTTTTTAGACATTTACCTTTCAAATCGTTTGATGATGATCAATTGTTTTTGTTTTGTTTTGAAATGACGAGTGTTTAAATAGACATACACGCATTTTGTCCAAGGATGTCGTTGAACATTTCTATTCATACGAACTTTGTAAATACAAAAAAAAAAGAAACAATACCTTTGTTTGATTTTATAGTCACATGCACGAATGAATGAATAAATGTTAACTTTTCTCCATTCATACAATTCTATTCAATGTATGTGTGTGTTTGTTTTTCTTTTTAGATATAATTTTCTTAATGATTAAAACTGATGATAATTATGAATCGTACCCTTTGGTTAAACAATCCAAAGTACGAAAATTACGTACATATACATCATCGACAAGTTGTAGTAGTGTCAGTGGAAGCTCAATAAATAATTCACCAAAAGTTGATAAACGTAAAATATCTCATCGTCATCATCACCATCATCATCATCATCATCATTATCAAAGTGGTGATGCAGATGAAGGTTATGCAAGTTTTACTACAAATAGTACTACATTAGGTAGTAATAGTAGTACAACATTAAATAAAGATGATAGTGCTTATTATACATGTGTTTCGGAACGTTTATTAACAACAACATCATCATCACCATCATCAAGAATTATTGTTGAAAGTGATTCAGATAAGTCAGAAATATCTGAAGAAGATGATACATTGAAAGATTTAGTCGACTGGCCTTCACTTAATAAACAAGTACAAACACTTGTTTCTCGTCTTGATAATTGGCTACATAATCCATTGCCTGATCGTTACATACCTATTGAAAAATCCTACGTTGAACATGCATATCCAGTTTTAAATCGACGACCGTCTTCAATACCACTTTCAATAAATTTATCTGTTGAAGAAACAGATAAGGTTTCTAATCAATCAAATTATATTGTTAATTTTGTACAGAATAATGATACTCCTAAACAAAAACCAATCGTATCATTTGAAACTCCTCGACCTCGTGTAAATTTTAATCTTCAAACAGAACAGGTACAATTTAGACAATATGTAATATTTCAATTTATATTGTTTTTTGCTTTCTAGCTTCAACATTGTACAACATGTTCAAGACTTATTCAATTAACTTCCTCAGCAACTAAACAACGAACATTAATAACATGTCCATATTGTGAACAAATCTATTGTAGTAAAACATGTCAAAAATCTGATTGGCCAATACATAAACGTCAATGTATTCTATCAAATTCATATTCATGTTGTGGTTATATACTACGTTTAATGAAAAGTAATATTCATTTATTAAAACGTTTAAGTACTTTAGCATCAAATGGATATTTATCATCTGGACGTGGTGCTATATTACTATATTTTGATAATATGAAAGAAGCTGATGCATATGTACAATCGAATACAATGGGAAATACACGTGTAATGGCTACTTACTGGTCAGTAACAGATACACCAACAAATCAAGCTATAAAAAATCTTCGCTTAACTGAATATGAACGTTTAAAAGAACTTTGTATGAATTATGATCCAAGTAAAGAATTTGTTTGTCATGTTACTATTGGAGTAGAAGCAGATCAGGGTAAGCATTAAAAGAAAAGAAACAATAATTCATTAATTATAAAAATATAATATAATTAATAGATCAAACACGTTATACATGTGTTAGTCGAACAACTATCCATAAATTACTTGATGTTTTACCAAAGTCTCAATCTAATTCGAATTCATCGAGTACATATCCTACTTTATATTTAACATCATTAAATTATGGTAATAATAATAATAATTATCATATGCGTCAAGTATTTTTTGCTAAATTACAAGTTGAATTACGTGAACGTGGAATTGAAATAGAACAACATTATCCTGAATTGTATAATAAATTATGTGATTATATATCAACAAATTCTGATAATGAAAAAATTTTACCATTTACACCTGTATGTTTATTTATGAGACATCGATATTCTCAACAATTATTTATGTGTGTTATAACACCAGAATCGGAACCTGATCGATCATGGTTACTTGATCGATGTTTAATTGAAAAACAATTAACTACTTGTGATAATTGATGACAAAAGAAAAAAAAATGAAATGAAGAAGAATATGTATCTGCAATCATTCTTTTCTAATTTTTTTTTGCACTATACTATTTACCATGAAATGGTTGACAAGTTTTTTTTAGTATTACATAAAAAAACACTTAGAGATCATTGAAAGAAAGATTTAAAGTACACTTGTATTTACGAACAGAAGAACGAGGTCGAATATTGTTGTTGTTATTGTTGAGCAAGTTTTCTTAAGTAAACATAATTGAAAATTATATGGTGTATATGAACAATAGACACTGAAGTGTTTTAAATATTATGTCTATTTAAATAATTAAATATATTGCATATATGCTTAGTGTTTATCTTATTGTTGGCTCGTCTCGTGAGATCATTATATTATGAAGTGAGTTGTGACGAAGATAAACTAGCAAGATATTTCTGTGGGTTAGAGTCAGTAATACAATAAAATAGGTTAACTTGTCAATTGTATAAATAAGAAAAAAAAAACGCTAACAGATTTACATGAACTTAAATAAACGATTGGATTCTGTATGATAATTCGAACGTTAGTTTATTTTATCATTGTATCTAAAAAGTGATTACTTGTTTTCAATCCATAAACTTACATAATATGCTATTGTACTATATTATACTTTATCTATGTTTCTCATAAAAAATTATATCATGTTAACGATTAAAAAGTTTAATCAAGACCATTTCTTCAGTTCTTGATTCGAAAAATACATTATTAACTTTTTATTGATCTTTATATCATATAAGTGAGTTATATGTAATCAACAGTTGAGTAGTTTCATGAAGCCTTTTAATGACCGTCTGAATGTATTAAGTTTTGCTTCGATATTTCGTCTATGAAAATCAATTATTTCATTTTGATTTGTAATCAATACGATGGTTGTATCCTTGAAAAAAAAACTATGTTTTTATTAGGGCTTCATCGTTCAACATTCGCTTATTCAAATCGATTGTCAATGTCATATTCGATTTAATATGATCAAGAAATACTTCTCAATGGAATTCTTTAAATTTAATCAATCTTATGTTTATTTTCGTTATTTTAAGATTTGACGATTGATTTTTTTTTGAAGGATTATTAATCTTAGTCATATTTTTTTCTGTTTTTAAAAAACTCGATTGAATACATACAATAAAATTCTAATAAATCTAGTTAAATCAGTTGCCATCTATAATAGTTGATAACCAAGAAAATAAAAATAATCCTTGACTTATTTCAAAATGCATATATGTATATATGACGAAATACTGCCTACTATTTTTCCAAATATGAATTTGATGAGATTATTGATGTGATTATAATATTTGTTCTTCAATATAAAAAAAAAAAACGGGAATGTAAAATAAAAAAATGCATATCAATAATAAAAACATCAAGATTGATTTATCAATCAAAGCAAGTAGTATGTTTGCAAGTTCGATAAACTCATATGTATATATTTCAATAAAACTTTCATTAGTTTCTAGATAGGTATTAGTAATTTATGTTGAAACAATGTCATCTTAAGTAATACAATCATCAATGAAGAAATTAAAGT